ATGCCAACTAACCCTAAGTCAGAGTTTGACCCCACATTGAGTAACCCTAACTCAGAGTTTGGACCCCATGCCAACTAACCCTAAGTCAGAGTTTGGACCCCACGTTGAGTAATCCTAAGTCAGAGTTTGGACCCCATGCCAATTAACCCCAAGTCAGAGTTTGGACCCCATGTTGAGTAACCCTAAGTCAGAGTTTGGACCCCATGCCAATTAACCCTAAGTCAGAGTTTGACCCCACGTTGAGTAACCCTAACTCAGAGTTTCGACCTCCTGTTGAGTAATCTCAAATCTGCGAACAGCATGGCTGCTTGAGCTGTTTTGCAAAGCTGCAGTTCTTCTCAGGAAAAATGCAGCCATAGCTTAGGTTTCTCTAACTCCCTTCAGGTAGGTGAGGAAGCACGCCCATAAGTGTCTCTTGATCGCGGGCACCTCTCTGATTATCCTAGTGTTGTATTTTTCACACTAAAGATGGGAAGACAACACCTGCAGAGGGTTTGGTGTCTGCCCAAATCCCACAGCATCAGGGCAAAGGCGTGAGGGTGGCGACAATAACCTGCCTTGGGCCCATACCTGGACACAAGTTCTAAGCTGGGCACCCATTCATGCCTTTCGCCCTCACAGAGCCCCTGGGTGGCAGGTATTGTATGCCTTTCTTCCGCTGATGATCCCAGGCCCAGGACAATGGAATAACTACCCTAAGGGCCTGCTGCCCTTAGGTGCTGCCGGCCTGAGGGGGTGTACCCCTAATCACCCCACTATCTTTCCAGACTAGACTAGGACTCCTGGCTCCAGGCTCCCCCTCACCACGTCAGAGCTCTCACGCCGTTCATTTCACTCCACATTCTTCAGAGTGAAAAATCACCCTGGATAGTCACGTGAGATGAAAACAATTAACAGAAAATGAGACTTCGTTTTCATTGAACAATAACCTACCCGTATTCTAATCTAAGTGGCAAGTTTCCTCTAACGATGTTTTCAAAACCAAGACCCTATGTTTTGAAAAGCATGATAATAAAATAAAACCAGGAAATGTTAAACATAACATCAATTAAATTTATGACTCATTCGAAGTCCATTCTAAGTGCCGGCTGATCAAGTTGCTTTTATGGATGTTTCATTTTTTCCCTTCCCTAGCCCCACCCCCACTGAAACAAAAGTGTGTTAATTATGAACACAGCTCATTAATTGAAGATCACGTTCCATCTTGTCTTAGGTAGCTTAAACCCTCAGGCAGGCAAACTTCAGGCATCTTAAGAAACCAATACATGGAATACATAGAGGGTGACTTGAAGCTCACCCAGCCATTATAACATGCTACTCCTTTTTTCTATTAAGATTTCAAATACCCAGCATAGCTGATAGAAAGTAATGTTAAAATTTACTAACAGTGCTGGGCCCTGCCCGCCCCCCCCCCAAAGTCACATGACCTTCAGTGGTGAGAATATGAAAACTAGAAAAAGGAGTGAAACTTCAATGAGAAATTTTAAACCAGAATTGAAATGAAACAGTTTAAAGAAAATGGACGAAAGCAGCAAAATTTTTTGATGTGACAAGGGTAAGAGTATTGTTTTTTTATAGCTTTAAAAATCAACAAGCCCAATTTGCTGGATAAATGGTGGTGCGTCTTTGACACCCTGTAATACTTGTTTAACAAGATTATTGGAAACCTAAGCCTACCCTGAATGTACTTGGTTGGGCATTGGCCTGTAACAATCATTTTACAAACAGACACACCCTAGTCAATTAAAGACAGTGGCTACAGTTTTTAGAAGGCACAGTCACACCGTCCCGCGCCCAGGGTTCTCTTTTGTACCAGGAGGGTCGAGTGAGTTGGCTAGTAAACCAATCTTAGTAATCCTGTGAAGGGAACATTAAAAAAAAAATCTGTTAAATTCCAACAACTTTTCTGACACTCATTTGAGACCCATGGAATGAGAATGGTTTATGAAGAACTGCAGGAAATGAAGACTGGGATTCTCTGAGTCCACACGCCTGCCCTGTCCATCTGCTTGCCACTGCCTTGTCTGTCCACTAACAGTGACAAAAAGCAGGCACTTTGAAACGTTCTGTGTGGATTCAGCCCTCACCACAACTCCAAGAGGCAGGGCTGGGCCTGTGTCCAGTGAGGTGAAGGAGCCTGCTCCTGTTGCTGAGTGAGTCGAGTGGACTGTGACCCACAGCGCCCCTAGAGGACAGAGTGGAACTGTCCCACAGGGTCTCCAAGGCTGTCAGTCTTCACGGAAGCAAAGCCCAAACCACACCCACTGCCCTGGAGTCCATTCTGACCCACAGCGCCCCTAGAGGACAGAGTGGAACTGCCCACAGGGTCTCCAAGGCTGTCAGTCTTCACGGAAGCAAAGCCCAAACCACACCCACTGCCTGGAGTCCATTCTGACCCACAGCGCCCCTAGAGGACAGAGTGGAACTGCCCACAGGGACTCCAAGGCTGTCGTCTCTTCAGAAGATTACCAGGTCTTTCCTCACATGGAACCGCATGGACATTTGCATTGCTGACCTTTTTGCGTTAGCAGATGAGCTCCTAACCACTGAGGTACCAGGGTTTGCTCACAGGGTCTCGTAAGAACATATTTTCTACAGTGTATTTCTCACTCTGGACTAAGCTCAGCCATCCTGGGCCACAGGCCTCTTCCCTCCACTGACGAGGAGAGCAGCCCCCGCTCTGAACCCACAAAGCACGCGGGAGAGGCGCAGTCTCTCTGGGAACCCCTAACTGACGCCTTCTCGACTCCCTCCTCACATGGGTTAGCTTCATCTTCTCTGAGGGATGCTCCCCCACCTCAGGGACTCCCCATGTTGTGAACTGATATCAATCAGCCCCTGATTCTGAACATCACGTGCGAACCAACTAACCTTCCTCTCCTGTAGGGGCCCACACATTGGGAGCCAATCTCACTCCTGTGTCCCCTCGACTCGATGGCTGTGGGGACGTGCCAGACAATGTGACATCCTAGGAAAGGGACTCTCGACAGAGAAGAGGTATCTAGAACTACCTAGGGCCCCAGAATTAGCATTCTAGGGTCCCAATGCACATGGAAATTGACAAGCTCACATCACAAGGTCTTCCTGTAACTGAGAATACCAAAGATTATAGAAAGTAGTCAATGCAACGCATTCTTCATAACCTGCTGCCGCCGAGTCAATTCCAGTTCATCCCAACCCTGTAGGACAGAGCGAAACTGCCCAGAGGGTCTCCAAGGCTGGAAACTGCTATGGAAGCAGACTGCCATGTCTTTCTCTTACGGAACAAGAACAGCTGGTAAGTTTGAACTGCTGACCTTTTGGTGAGCAGCCAAATGCTTTAACCACTGTACCACCAGAGCTCCTGCATTCTTAGACAATTCTTAAAAACTCTGTAAAAGAATGCTATTGCTTTCAACTAGTGCGTATTATAGGAGCTCTGGTAGCATAGTGCCTAAGGCACTTGACTGCTAACCAGAAGGCTGGCGGTTCAAACACACCAGCCACTCCTCGGAAGGAAGATGGGGCAATCTACTTCCGTAGTGATATTGCCTTGGAAACCCAAGTAGGGGTCGCTATGAGTCGGGTCCAACTCGACGGCACATAACAACAACAACAACAACAGTGCGTATTATAAAATAATAAGCTGTCATTAAGAAGTCTTGGCTACCTTCCCGTTCTCTACGTTACACTTCAGAGTGCTTTGGAAGGGTGATGTGCATTCTACACACTACAGCCTTGGAAGTCCCGTGGGGGTCACCATGAGTCGGAACCGACTCAACGGCACTGAGTTTGCTTTATTTAAATTTTTTCTGCACTCCATTTCTCTGCACTCAATTTTATCTATCTATCTATATATTTTTGAGTCAATTCCAGTCTGGGGTTGAAAAATCGCCCAGCTTTTTGAGTTAATTGTTTTTGTCTGTTCTGTAGAATGTTCCAGGCATCTACACTACATTGGTAATGTGGCTGACAGCCTTTTGATTCTTGTCTGAGTTTGCTCTTTGGGCACTGAAATCTGTTCCTATTGCCTTACGTATCCCCGTGTACTCACACTGAGTATAGACGTGGCCATTTCCTGAGCACTGCAGGGCCTATACTGAGAACACCAATGATGACGCTGGCTACCACGTCCTCACGCCCTGACGCATGGTAATCAGCATTTGCAACGACAGCCTCTCAATGGTCAGGAAATGATCTGGCTTTCAGATATACATATTTTTCCCCCTCACTTCCTGGTTCTCAACTGTCCACTCCCCACAGGGTCCCATCTGGTTGTTCTCTAGCATAGTGCCTTCCAGACACAGAGTGCTCAGAAATACTTATTAATCAAACGAATGTGTGAGTGACTGAGTGGCTGAGACCGTGG